AGTTAATTATGGCATAATTAAGATTCAATTTGACATTTCATAAATTGGTCTCCAGAGTGTGAGTATTAATTGTAGACTGTTCACACATTGAAGTGATTGTAACATACTATAAACATGTGTTATTGGTCAGTGATCAGTCAAGTGCAACATTACATTTTCCTTGCTGCTTTTATAATAGCCAGTGTAAAACTCACCTATCTTATATAAAAGAAAGTGTGAGATAAGTGGGGTTTACAACATGTACTCTAATATCCTGAACCAATCTGGTATCCGGATCTGATCTCAGAAAATTCAAATATTACTCAGAAAGAGTTTATTTGGACCTCAGTGCTTATAATTTAAAAAGATGCTTAGGAGTAGAGTTAAACATGTGACTAAAGTGCCATTTAGATGAAACAACTTTATAATGTGAACTTTAATAAAATTATAATGGGACATTAAAGGAGTTCTTCAATCAGATGGAAATGGAAATTTACTACTGTTCAATGGAATAATGGTAAGTTATTTAGACTATTTTGTTACAACAGTCTTTTCAAATTTACCTTGCAAATGAACACTTTTAATTTTAGTTTTTGTTTTTCTTCATAAATTTTACATATGTGCTGATTTAAATCTTTTTCACTGAGTGTTATTGAGTGGGAATTTTTAAATCTGCCCTTTTCTTTACATTATGTACCAGTAAATTACATTCCTGGTCATGATTTTTCATACCATTTACATTTTGAGGATATTTCAGTAAATTATGGGTTTATATTAACAGTACCAAACTACTATCAGAATAAGCATTTTGATTTTACTCAATTTATATATTATGTATTAGTAATGAATATTTTTTTCTTATTTACAGGAAAACTTACAATGCTACACAGGTATCATAGAGAGTTTCAAATTATAATGATGAAGGAAAGAAAAATGAGGTTGATTACAGAAATAATTGATGGTTAGTTTTGTTATTCAATAAGGTTAGATAATTGAAAAAATAATGAAATAAATAATTACAATTGATTTGAACAATTTTAACTGTTAGATGAACAACTTTCGATGTAGTATAAATTTCCATTTAAATAAAATGATTGTACAGAATATAATTTTTGTATTTTAAAGATTTACTTAAATTACAATATTATTTATCTTAAATGTTTTTACAATACTTAAATGCATGTAATACATTCACTATTTAAAATGTTCATATAGTTAAAATAGAAGTTCTGATAAAAAGATTCATTATCATCTGATGTAGCAGTCAAAACCTGAGTAGGAATGTGAATAATTTTCAATTGTATTGTTTAAACAAACAATTGCCTTGTTAGATATAGATCTATGTTGTTGAAATTATTTATAGCAATATTTAACAAAATTAAAAACTATTGCAGCAAGAACAATTTTAATTTTTATGGCAAGATTGCCCAAAAATAATATTTTACTATTGCAAAAAAATAATTTTTTACTATGCAATGTGTGCTTTCAAATATTGATCTTTTTAATTACATGCTAATAATACCAAGCATATGCATATTAAACATAAATAATTAATTATTATACAAATATTTTTTTTTTCAGTGTGTACAACAGGCAGTCAATAATATGGATAGAGAAGCCATTCTGAAAGACTGAATCTGTGAAGGACATGATTTATCATATGGATACTTATTTGAAAAAACCAAAAAAAAAAAACCCAAAAAAAACAGTTATCTTAAATAAATAATGTTTTGTTTTCTATTTTCTCAACGTGGTAGACATTTATTATTTTTTGAATATGTGTTATAGAATTATTTTTGTTAAGATGACTTGTAAATCTAGAAATCAGTTGAAATGAATAAATTATTTCTATTATGTAATAGTTTATTAATATTATACCTTATCACATGACGATTAATTGCAATATTGTAGAATTTAAAGAAGTTTGTTACAGGCTAGACGCATTTATTAGCTTGTCGCAAGCTAGAGGCAAGCTTGCCGCAAGCTTGTAACTAGCTTGTCACAAGCTTGCAACTAGCTTGTCGCAAGCTTGCAACTAGCTTGTCGCAAGCTTGTGGTGCCTTTCAAATCTAAAGCATGCATTTTTGAAAACAGGCTGCAAGCTTCCCGCAAGCTTGCGGCAAGCTTGCCGCAAGGTTCCAATTCTAAGCTTTCCGCAAGCTTTATTTGCAAGCTTGCGACAAGCTTGTTGCAAATTTGTCGCAAGCTTTTATAAAGCTTGCGATTTTGGTTTGGGCTGTTTTAAAAATGTTAAAATATTTAATTGTTAGTTACCGAAAATTATCGCAGATTGTTGAAATTCCATAGCGCTAAAAGACACAAAAACACTCGCGCAAAAAGAAGCATCCATAAATATAAGGAATATAATGTTTCCATTGTTAAATAATAAATACAAAATTGACACACGAAATGACCTCTGACAAATGATTGGTCGGCTCTTCTGAAGAATCTGTGAATCTTTGATGTTTACACACCTGTAGTTGTTGCCGAATCATCAAAGAAATGCCGACACTCTATTGACTTCCACCTCTTTTTTATATATCAGAAAAAAAACTGTCATTTCTTTTTGTCAAGGAATGATTACACAGTCATGTTTAATTATTGCTCAAGTAAAAAAAAATGTTGGATATTGATTGTGTCAATTATTGACATATTATTAATCGTAAGTGCATTTTGATTGTGATATTTTATTTACATTTTTATGATCTTTAAGATATTGTGCAATACATGTGTCTGCTATCAAAACAATAATGCATATGAAAGGACCACAGCTTCCAAAAATTTATTTTTTCGGTCAATTTTATGACAGAATCCCCACTGCTACCAGAAATGTTCTATTGCATGGGCTTAGTATTTAATCTGTGTTGTCAGTCATAAACAAACGAACATGTACCCCAAAGCACATTAAAATTACCACATGGTAAACTAGTGACCATATTAATGCTTTACAAATATTCATTAATTGAACAAAAAAAATTTTAATCCCGTTTCCACACCTTAATTTGATACGTGCTATTATTAGTTAATTCAACTTAATTGCCGCGCGCATGCAGTACTGCTTGACGTAAGGAAAATATCCTTCCCTGGTTGGTCGCTATTTATGTAAATACTTTAAATAGTAACACCCAAATTTTACCTCATGAATGATCACTCGTTACTTTACATATTAAATGTGTGATTTAACTCCGATTTTATTTTCGTTTTCGATGGAATTTTTTGGGTCGAATGCCCTGGCTGATTTGGAGGAAATAAAAAAAATCTGATTTGCATCTTGCTACTCATCACCTACTCATGCACCTGGCATTTTTTACTCGTGAAATTGAAGGTAAAAAATGTCTCAATTTAAGTGATAAACTTTTACAATTTTCAACAATCATGATTAGCGTATTAGACGTAATAATTAGTTACACCTGTGAATCGGTGCTAAATGTCGCTTTGCATTGTTCTAAAAATAGAATATGTGCGAAAGTAAACAATGGATTTTAATTACATTTGTATTATTATCAAAATAACAATTGGACAATTTGTTATCGTGCGTTCTTTGATGTAGTACCAATTACCTTTTGTAATTTCAATCTCGTTTTATTACCAGCACCTGATTGCTTTGTTTTAGTATACAAAATGTATACGCTGTACATGTTCAAATGCTAAATATTTATAAATATACATGACATTTACAAGATTTTTTTAAAGTTTTCAAAATTAAAGACCACGGGAATGACCAAGTACACATAGTACTTTCTAATACAATTATTGCTGAAGATTCGCCGTAAATTACAGCGATACATTGCGGCGATTTTTTCGTGAACCGCCATGATATTCGGCGAACTTGCATGCGGCGATGTTTTACCGCGTAATGTCCCGTCGCGTCATAGACTGCACTCCCGGCATAACACGACTTTTGCAGGTTTCGCGTGTCCAGTACTGTAGTGATATCACCCGCACTGTAGGTGATATATTTGGATGATATACAATACACAAATTGGCATAAACATAGTGATATCACCCGCACTGTAGGTGATATATTTGGATGATACACAAATTGGCATATACATAGTGATATTACCCGCACCGTAGGTGATATATTTGGATGATATACAATACACAAATTGACATATACATAGTGATATCACCCGCACTGTAGGTGATATATTTGGATGATACACAATACACAAATTGGCATATACATAGTGATATCACCCGCACTGTAGGTGATATATTTGGATGATACACAATACACAAATTGGCATATACATAGTGATATCACCCGCACTGTAGGTGATATATTTGGATGATACACAATACACAAATTGGCATATACATAGTGATATCACCCGCACTGTAGGTGATATATTTGGATGATATACAATACACAAATTGGCATATACATAGTGATATCACCCGCACTGTAGGTGATATATTTGGATGATATACAATACACAAATTGGCATATACATAGTGATATTACCCGCACTGTAGGTGATATATTTGGATGATATACAATACACAAATTGGCATATACATAGTGATATCACCCGCACTGTAGGTGATATATTTGGATGATATACAATACACAAATTGGCATATACATAGTGATATTACCCGCACTGTAGGTGATATATTTGGATGATATCGCAGGGACATGAAGAGGCAGTTTCTTAAAATTTGCTACTGTGTCTAAATGTGTTTATGTTTTTGTTACTTTTGAAAAACACACTAACAAATGACTTAAAATTTAATGCTGACCATATAATCATTATTATTTTTTTATGTTTGTGCAATTAAAAAATAAAATAAATTAAGTTTAAAGCATTGTATCTTTTCCAGGTTTCGAGCCCCATAAATTGAATTGAGATTATAAATGAAATTACATGTATATGTGATCAATTACGTTACATAAAAAATATTACATAAAAAATATGTTACAAGTTACACAAATTCTATATGCATTTTTTCATCTGGAAATTATTTCATACATGTATTTTATTTTTGTATATTAATATATCAACCTTTGTCCTCAGGTAATTCTTAAAGGGTGATAACATGGCATCTTCCTACAACAATTCCTCTGAGGAACAAACAGAACTACGCAGACTTCACATTAAACTTATCTCTGAAATTAACGATAATTTAGATAAAAAAAGCATAGAGTATGAAAAATTATTTTTTCACTTCGGAACTTATGTGCCTTTAGGATTAATTGCCAATAAATCAAGTCTAGATAAATTTGAAACTTTATGCACCAGAAAAATCATAACACCAGGAGAAAATTATGAAAAATTGAAACAAATATGTCTAGACAGTGGAAATGATATTTATGTAGATACAATAGAAAAATATGAAAAGGAAATGGAAAAAGTTCGATCTCAACATAGATATACAGGTATGTACGAATAGAAATTCAAGTTTATCTGAAAGAAAAAAAAACCTTTTTATTTGATGTACATGTACATATTATATTATAATACTGCACGTTTGTAACGTCATTTTTCATTGGATAATCGTGACGTTTATATAGTTTTATATAAACGGCTGCTGTCGATTCATGAGGAAATCTTAATTTTTTCTATAAAAATGATGCTTGCTGTAGTATAAATTCGTTATAAAGATTGTTGACCGGTTATATGGACGTATATAAACGGCTGTTTGCAATATAACCCTCGCCTAACGGCTAGGGTTATATTTACAAATAGCCGTTTATATAGGGCCATATAACCTGTCAACGATCTTTATAACTAATAATGTAATTGCATACTACTTTGAACCAGTTACCAAATGATTACAAAAAACAGTCAAAGATATGAATGATATTTTAAAGATTACTACTACGGTATATATATTTGATCTATAATTTTGTTCAAGATCTTCTAAATTACTAGTACTTGTATTCATTAACTGAAATATTACTTTAGAACGGTTTATCATAATGTTTTTATTCAGTTTGGAATTTAATACATGGAGATATCAATTTTGAGTGCATTTTTAAAGAATTATGCATGGTTAGCATTCAAATGCGCAGGTCGAGCATAATCACAAAGACCGATACTCCGGAGTGATTTATTACAAAGCATTTGAACAATAATCCATGCATTATGATAATGATGGTCAAAGTATTCAATTTTTATTGATGATTTGTATAATTCGCTGTACTTGTTACTTGGTTTTTAATCGATGGATTATTTTCATACTTAGACAAAATAATCTTTAGGATTTGAATCACACGTTGAATGAACAACACTTGTGACCAAACAGAAATGTATAATAATTAAGATATGTCATTGATGTTTAAATGACGTTGACCATTAAATGATTGAATTTTGATTATATTTGTATATATAACTTTGTCATTTACAGTTCAGCTCGTGTGTTATGTACAAATTTTTGTGCTTCCTCTGCAAGCGACCTTAAGGTAGACCATGGGTAATGGGCACCATAAGGAACTGTAAAATTGACAGCATAGGACAGTTATATGTCTTCAAGGTCACCTGTATGCAAAATTTAAATAAAATTTACCGTGTGGTTTATGAGTTATGGATATATTTCTGAACTAAGACCTTGCCATTAGAAGGGCTTATTTTCAGAAATGAGGAAACTGTAAATAATCTGTAATATCATCATTATAAAAAATGTTTTTCTATTGCTCATTGTTAAGAAACAAATAATAACATTCAGGTAACACATTACACAAGCAAAATGTTTGTTTCTAAACAAAATGTTCTTAATATGTATAAAAATGTTACCCTACCCCACCCACTTTTAACACTTATTTTACCATTTCCCTATCTAAAATGCCTTATTCAAAATATCCCTAAAATTTATCGAAATGAGGGTCTGTTTTCAAAGTTTGCCTAAATTTTTTCAAAGGTATATTAGTTGATTAGCGAAATATAAAATACTTTCACCATGTAGTTTTTATTTCATCGATCTTTGAAAATATCTGGTATCATATTTGCTATAAATTTTGGCATTATTTAGCAAAAAAATACCTAAAATAATTATATAATTTAAATCAAACTTTTTTTCTTCCATAAGGGATCAGAGAGATACATTAATAATGTTAAAAAGAAAAAAAGAAAGAAAAAAAAAGTTGCCCCTTCTGGGGTTTGAACCCACGCCCCTCAATTTCAATGTAGTTTACAAGCGATGCGAGCCTATTTGAATACTCTTCAAAGTGGAGGTAATGCATTACCCATGGTCTACCTTAAAGCAAACTCCTTAATCCCCCTTGTTTTTCTGAGAGTAATCGCGGAGAAACACCCATGACCACAATCGGAGAGTTTTAGAGAGGGTAAAGGTATTATCGCAGAGATTCTCAAAGAAAATCACTATTTATAAGTTGATATTATATTCAAAAATTATCCTTTTTCATTAAAGTACATGTAATTCTCCCTTTCATTAAAAAGAAACAACAGTCTTATTAATTTTTGTTTTGAAATTTGTAGGTCCACAGGAAGCTGAGAAAAAACATACAGAATTAAAAAGAAAATTTACTGTTCTTGAGTCAGAACAAAAAGAGGTAGAATGTGTTTCATTTCCTTTTTTCTGGTTAATATACTGGTACATGTATAACTGTTTGTTTCTGGTTGATATACCTGTATATATAATTATAACAAACAATCATGGTTTGAAAATAACAATTTGGTTAGCAAGCTTTGTAACTTCATGAAGGCAGTTGTACCCACTTTTAGCTCACCTGTCACAAAGTGACAGGATGAGCTTTAGTGATCGCTTTACGTCCGGCGTCCGGCCGACATCCGTAAACTTTAACTTTAAATGACATCTCAAAAACCACTAAGCCAATTTCATCCAAACTTCACAGGAATGTTCCTTTGGTGGTCACCTTTGAAAATTTAATTTCATGCAGAACTCTGGTTCCCATGGCAACCAAAAGAAAACACTTTAATTTATAATATCTTCTTCTAAAAAATCCAAAGAGCTACAGCTTAGATATTTGGCATGAACATCTTCTTGTGAGTGTTTACCAAGTTTGTTCAAATAAAAGCCTTGGGGTCAAGATTGGCCCCGCCCCAGGGGGTTATTGATTTTCCCTATATGCATATAGTAAAAGCTTAAAAATCTTCTTTTAAAGAACCCAAAGAGCTAGACTTATGATATTTAGCATGAAACATCTTCTAATGGGTGTCTACCAAGTTTGTTCAAATAAAAGCCTTGGGGTCAAAATTGGCCCCGCCCCGGGGGACATTGATTTTCCTTATATGTGTATAGCAAAAACTTAAAAATCTTCTTTGAAAAAACCCGAATAGATATAGTTTAGATATTTAGATATTAAGCATGAAACATCTCTACAAAGATTGTTAAAATAAAAGCCCTGGGGTCAAAACTGGCCCTGCCCCAGGTGTGTTATTGTTTTTATCTATATGTGTAAAGAAAAAACTTGAAAAAAACTTTTCTTTTAAAAAACACAACGAGCTAGACCTTAGATGTTTAGCATGAAACATCTTCTAATGGGGGTCTACCAAGATTGTTCAAATAAAAGCCCTGGGGTTTAAACTGGCCTTGCTCCAGGGGCCTATATACATGTGAGCGACTTCAGGGCCATCATGGCCCTCTTGTCATTAGTAACACAGTAGAAATATGGTGATAAATGCTGCAAAATTCATCATTAATCGCATATACATGTAACATGTATATTATTTATTCACTTTTTCAGCTTGTCTATTATATTAATATCCAACTCACTTGGATTTTGACATCTGTCCAACACTTTCGGTTAAGTTTTTTTAAATCACTTGTAGATATTGACAGAATTATGCCCTTTTTGTGTCGCCTTGAAAAGGTGACATATAGGGTTACTTTTGTCGGCGGTGTCGGCGGCGGCGTCTGTGTCGTTGTCGGCGTCGTTGTCGGCGTCGTCGTCGGCGTCCCCTAAAGCTTGTCCGGAGCATAACTCAGTCACTATAAGTCTGATTGACTTCAAACTTGGTATGCATGCTTCTTTCAATAACCCGAAGTGCAGTGCACAAGGACCGGTACTCTGCAGTTCTTATTTTTTGAGTTATTGCCCTTTGTTAATTTTCATACTTTAATTTTGTCCGGGCCATTTCTCTTCAACTAAAAAAGCTATGGACTTGAAACTTCATAGGATGATAGATCTCATTATTAAGAAGTGCAGTGCATAAGAACCAGTACTCTGCACTTCCTAATTTTTGAGTTATTGCCCTTTGTTAATTTTCATACTTTATTTTTGTCCGGGCCATTTCTCCTAATGTATAAAAGCCATGGACTTGAAACTTCATAGGATGATAGGTCTCATTAAGAAGAAGTGCAGTGCACAAGAACTGGTACTCTGCATTTTTTATTTTTTGAGTTATGGCCCTTTGTTAATTTTCATACTTGATTTTTGTCCAGGCCATTTCTCTGAAAGTATAAAAGTTATGGACTTGAAACTTCATAGGATGATAGATCTCATTAAAATGAAGTGCAGTGCATAAGAACTGATACCCTGCATTTCTTATTTTTGAGTTAATGCCCTTTGTTGATTTTCTTACTTTATTTTTGTCCTGGTCATTTCTCCTCAAGTATGAAAGCTATGGACTTGAAACATCATAGAATGATATATCTTATTGATAAGAAGTGCACTGTACAGAAACTGCTGTTCTGCACTTATTATTTTTTTAGTTATTGCCCTTTGTTATTTTTCATATTTCATTTTTGTCCTGGCCATTTCCCCTAAACTACATTGTTCACAAGGCGACACATCCGACTCGCGGAGTTCTAGTTTGAAATATAATTTTTCTTACCACCTCACTTATTTCCTATACCTTTTGAGAATTTTTTTTGAAATGATGTGCTCTGATAAGGAACTATTATCCAGACCCGGGAATGATTACATTGATCAGTAATAGATTTAATTACAATTACTTTCACATTTTATTTTGATTGATTATTATTGATTACTCAGACTGGCCTCTGTAATCAATTAGATTACAATTACTTTAAGACTTTGACTATGAATAGAGTTATTGATTAATAATTGATTACATTCAATGTAAAGTAGAATCCCTTTTTTAGACCACCCCTGAATTAAGACCACCCCCTTATTAAGACTATTTTTACAAGGTTCTTTATGTCAATGGTTACATGATCCAGAATAAAGAAGAACCGCTTTTCCACTTGAAAGACCACCTGATTCAGTTCAAATTCTTTGCTTTATTCTTAATTTGACCCAACTATTGAGACCACTTATATTAAAGGCAACACTTATCTAGATCTTAAATTTGTTGTTGTGATCTGATGACACTTAATTTCACAAGGTGTGAAACACTGTTATTATTGGATCATTGTATTTAATAAGGTGAGAAGGTAAATTTTAGAGTGGTTTAATGTTGCTTTCAGCAATTTTATTTTGTGAAGAATTAACTTTTATTTGATTGGTGATTTATATATATATATATTTTATTTGAGTCTCATCCATACATAACAACATGAAACAATTCAATTACATATTAAAAAAAATAAAGTTATCTATGCACGGCCATTCTAATCAGAATTACATTTTATTATTTATTTATTACAGACCATGGTCATAAAGTATGTAAGCAATGATAAGACTATCCACAATTAAGACCACTTTGGTCCAGCCCAGATGATGGTCTTAATCAAGGGCTTTTAATGTATAAATGTAAAACAAAAGTGTAAAACAAAACTGTATAATGTGAAATAAAGGCATCATTTCAATTAAAATAGTTTCCTGTTAAATCTAAAAGTAATCAATGTCAATCAAATTGTAATAGCTGTAATTGATTAATTACAATTAAATTAATCAATTTTGGGCAAGGTAATCAATTACATGATTATTACAGTGTAATCATGTAATCAATTAAAAATCAATGATTACAATTAATGGTTACCCCAGGTCTGCTATTATCCGAACTACCAGGTAAGTTGACATAGCTCTGTCTTGGATTTTGACAAAAAATGACACTTTTTCGACATTTGGATAGATTTTGTACTAGGTACCATCCCCAATTTCAGGCAAGTACTTATAATAGTCTTATTAACTCATCAGAGTAAAACTTGCCGATAGCTACTAAGCAAATGTGATGGCCAAACATCTGCCACATGTTCTTTAAACAACATCTGATCTATTTTGACAAAAAAGGAGTTATCATTGGGTGGTCTTTTACTAAAGTCCTTAAAATGATTAAGGTTGGTTGCATGAGTAGCCTAAGATAAGCACAAGTTTCACATAATGGTATTATTCAAATAATACTATATGTACCTTCTAACTATATAAAAACTATTACAAGTATTTAACATTTATTCTTAATTCAGACGTTTTAATGATAATCAATGATAATATAAAAATATAAAATAGATATGTTGATAAGAAGTAGTCTTGAAGAATAAAGTTCCCATGAGCTAAAACCTTTCAGATGAGCAATGTTAAAATCTCACAAGAAACTAACATGCCCTGACTTGTAGATTTACAGTTTTGTAGCCAACCCCACTCCTTGTAGGTATCTATTTAAGTAATAGAAATCATGCCCCTTGGAAATGATTGACCAAACATAAAGGTGCATGGCTTAAGTGTAGCATATGTAGACTGAAACATTGGCTGAGATATGAAAATCATAATAATGGGTCAAATAGAGCCATTCTTCAGTTTCATGATTTAATTTATAACTTTGACTTAAATAGGAATGTGACTTGACTGAGGACCTATAAATCAAGCCTCTATAATGTTAAACCTTCTTGTTTTTAACTCAACTGAGCATAGAGCACTCAGAGTTGAATGTTTGTGACAGCATTTTGTATTGTGGCCGTTTTCACCACCTTTTTTTAGCTCACCTGTCACAAAGTGACAGGGTGAGCTTTTGTGATCGCTTTTCGTCCGGCGTCCGTCCGTCCGGCGTCCGTCCGTCGTCCGCCCGTAAACTTTTGCTTTAAATGACATCTCCTCATAAACCACTGAGCCAATTTCATCCAAACTTCACAGGAATGTACCTTTGGTGGTCACCTTTAAAAATTGTTCAAAGAATTTAATTCCATGCAGAACTCTGGTTGCCATGGCAACCGAAAGAAAAATCTTTAAATATCTTCTTTTAAACAACCCTAAGAGCTAGAGCTTAGATATTTGGCATGAAACATCTTCTAGTGAGTGTCTACCAAGTTTGTTCAAATTAAAGCCCTGGGGTCAAAATTGGCCCCGCCCCAGGGGGTCATTGATTTTCCCTATATGCATATAGTAAAAACTTAAAAAGTCTTCTTCTAAAGAACCCAAAGAGCTAGAGCTAAGATATTTGGCATGAAACATCTTCTAGTGAGTGTCTACCAAGTTTGTTCAAATAAAAGCCCTTGGGTCAAAATTGGCCCCGTCCCGGGGGGTCATTGATTTTCCCTATATGCATATAGTAAAAACTTAAAAAATCTTCTTTTAAAGAACCATAAGAGCTAGAGCTTAGATATTAAGCATGAAACATCTTCTAGTGAGTGTGTACCAAGTTTGTTCAAATACAAGCCCTGGGGTCAAAATTGGCCCCGCCCCAGAGGGTCATTGATTTTCCCTATATGCATATAGTAAAAACTTAAAAAATCTTCTTTTAAAGAACCAAAAGAGCTAGAGCTTAGATATTTGGCATGAATCATCTTCTAGTGAATGTCTACCAAGTTTGTTCAAATAAAAGTCCTGGGGTCAAAATTGACCCCGCCCCAGGGGGTCATAGATTTTCCCTATATGCATATAGTAAAAATTTAAAAAATCTTCTTTTAAAGAACCCAAAGAGCTAGAGCTAAGATATTTAGCATGAAACATCTTCTAATGAGTGTCTACCAAGTTTGTTCAAATAAAAGCCCTGGGGTCAAAATTTGCCTTGCCCCAGGGGGTCATTGATTTTCCCTATATGCATATGTTAAAAACTTAAAAAATCTTCATTTAAAGAACTCAAAGAGCTAGAGCTAAGATATTTAGCATGACACATGTTCTAATGGGAGTCTACCAAGTTTGTTCAAATAAAAGCCCTGGGGTCAAAATTGGCCCCGCCCCAGGGGGTCATTGATTTTCCTTATATGTGTATAGCAAAAACTTAAAAATCTTCTTTGAAAAAACCCAAATAGCTAGAGTTTAGATATTAAGCATGAAACATCTTTAAGTAAATATCTACAAAGTTAATTTCAAATAAAAGCCAGGGGGTCAAAACTGGCCCTGCCCCAGGGGTGTCATTGTTTTTAACTATATGTGTATAGTAAAAACTTTTAAAATCTTCTTTTTAAAAAACCCAATGAGCTAGAACTTAGATGTTTAGCATGAAACATCTTCTTATGGGTGTCTACCAAGTCTGTTCAAATAAACAAATAAAAGCCCTTGGGTAAAAATTCGCCCGGGGTTGGGGGGGGGGCTATATACAGGTGAGCGACCTCAGGGCCATCATGGCCCTCTTGTTTATGGAAGATTTTGACCAAACTTTACAGATATTATTCTTGGGGTAGGGGTGTCCGTGGCCGAGTGGTTAAGGTCGTTGACTTCAAACCACTTACCCCTCACCGCTGTGGGTTCGAATCCCGACAGGGACTTTGGATTCTTTCATGTGAGGAAGCTATTCAACTAGCTTACGGAACGTATCGATATGATCTATACTGTGTCGATGTGACGTAAACCCCCCCCCCCCCCAAAAAAAAAAAAAATTTCTTGGGATATTTTTAATATGACCGAATGACCTTAATTTTGACTTTTCTAGCAATTGATCCAGGGTGAGTGATCAAAAAGCCTAGTTTCCTAGAGTATTCATTATATTTTGGCTAATAAAGCTAATACAGTTTTCATAACTTTCATGTTTCAAATGTAGCAGCTAAAAAACTTGACTGCAAATAAGAAATCTATAATAAAAAGGGGTGTATCAATTGGGGTAAAGGTAGCATAAATAAGAATGGACTATAGACTGTTTTGTTTTTAGCACACCTATGGCAATGTGACATGGTGAGCTTTTGTTATCGCCTTTTGTCCGGCATCCATCCATAAACTTTTACTTGAACGACATCTCTTCATAAACCGCTACGCAAAATTTTTTATTGTCCCTCAATTCCAATATCTTGTTGAACCCATTTGTAAAATTTTGTATGATTGCACCAAAAATGTCGAAATGAACAATTCTTTGCGTTGCAATGAAATTGTTTTAGATGTTTTTGATTATTTTAGGACACTGTTAAACGGACTGACTGAAAATACCAATATTACTGTAAACAATAGACATTTATTTGTATTATAATTTATGTTGTAGGAGATAAAAAGACTCAAGGTAGAAGATTCTCAACAAAAACAGTTAAGATATGAAAAGGATAAATCAGGTATGTTATATGTAAAATGAAAAGGCTAGATCAGGTATGTTATATAGAATATGAAAAGGCTAGATCAGGTATATTATATAGAATATGAAGAGGTTAAATCAGGTATGTTATATATAATATGAAAAGGCTAAATCAGATATATTATATAGAATTTGAAAAGGCTAGATCAGGTATATTATATAGAATATGAAGAGGTTAAATCAAGTATGTTATATATAATATGAAAAGGCTAAATCAGATATATTATATAGAATTTGAAAAGGCTAAATCAGGTATGTTATATAGAATATGAAAAGGCTAAATCAGGTATGTTATATAGAATATGAAAAGGCTATATCAGGTATGTTATATAAATGTAGAATATGAAAAGGCTATATCAGGTATGTTTTATAGAATATGAAAAGGCTAGATCAGGTATATAGAATATGAAGAGGCTAAATCAGGTATGTTATATATAATATGAAAAGGCTAAATCAGATATATTATATAGAATTTGAAAAGGCTAAATCAGGTATGTTATATAGAATATGAAAAGGCTAAATCAGGTATGTTATATAGAATATGAAAAGGCTATGTCAGGTATGTTATATAAATGTAGAATATGAAAAGGCTATATCAGGTATGTTATATAGAATATGAAAAGGCTTAATCAGGTATGTTATATAGAATATGAAAAGGCTAGATAAGGTATGTTATATAGAATGTGAAAAGGATAAATCAGGTATGTTATATAGAATATGAAAAGGCTAAATCAGGTATGTTATTTAGAATATGAAAAGGCTAAATCAGGTATGTTATATAGAATGTGAAAAGGCTAAATCAGGTATGTTATATAGAATATGAAAAGGCTAGATCAGGTATGTTATATAGAATATGAAAAGGCGAGATCATGTATGTTATATATAATATGAAAAGGCTAAATCAGGTATGTTATATAGAATATGAGTAGGCTAAATCAGGTATGTTATATATAATATGAAAAGTCTAAATCAGGTTTGGTATATATTATATTAAAACGCTCAATCAGGTATGTTATATAGAATATGAAAAGTCTAAATCAGGTATGTTGATTATATAGAATATGAAAAGTCTAAATCAGGTATGTTATATAGAATATGAAATGGCAAAATCAGGTATGTTATATAGAATATGACTAGGCTAAATCAGGTATGTTATATATAATATGAAAATGCTAAATCAGGTATGTTATATTTAATATGAAAAGGTTTATCAGGTATGTTATATAGAATATGAATAGGTTAAATCAGATATGTTATATAACATATGAACAGGCTAAATATAGTTTGTTATATAAAAATGCTCAATCAGGTATGTTATATAGAACATGTAGAATATGAAAAGGGCTAAAATAGAGAAAACAAGAATTCATAAAGAAAGCCCAAAATGACAAAATTGAAAATGTTGCAGGCTTGGTTAGATTGAGCCTGTTAATGGACGGTACTGGTAAGTGCAAACTACCATCCACGCCTCCTAGCACTGGCTTAAGCAGAATTCAACATTTAAACATAAAATGATAAAAGTTTGCATTTAGAAACATCCGTAGATATGTTCTTATGGCGGTTATCAATGCGACACTTCCGGGCCATTGCATGAAAAGCCGTGTACTGGTCCCCAAATATTAGAAAGCGTGTGCCTGAAGTTTGTTATATTAAATATGAAAAGGCTAAACCAGGTATGTTGTAAAGAACTTGAAAAGGCTAAATCAGGTATGTTATAAGGCTAAATCAGGAATGTTACATAGAATATGAAAAAGCTTAATCAGGAATGTTACATATGATGTTATATTTTATATGAAAAGGGCTAAATCAGATATGTTATATAATATATGAAAAGACTAAATTAGGTATTTTATGCAGGATATGTAAAGGCTTAATCAGGTATGTTATATACTGCAGTCTGCACACCTGGATGCCATAGGCGGAAAAAAATCCAATTTAGGCCTGCAAAAATCCAAAGCAAAAATGTTAACCCGAAGTATGATCTAATTTGGAATGTGTCTTCATACAAAATGAGTTTCAGTTTCAATTCTTTTTAAATTATTGAGACTGGGAGATAAACTTTGTGGTTGTGTTACTTAGGGTTATGCATTCATAGAGTGCAATGCTTCTTTTGTTGATATTTGTTTTCATATTTTAAACAAAGTAGAAAGCAGTAGATTGACAAGTAAAGTTAAGTATATTTAAACAGAAAAAGAGAATTTTATTTAAAAACTGGCTGACTGATATTCCATGCTTGTGTGCCTTAATTAAACTGTTGTCTTTATTTTGCACAATAAGTGTTTTGGGCCTGTGATAATCTGTCCATGCAGGTCCATACTAATTTTCAGTATCATTAACTCATTGATTTGTCCTTAACAATTGGATTTCATATAATCATTTTAATTACAGAATGGCGAGAAAAGCTGATAGAACAGTATCAAAAAACCCTGCTGCAAGTTCCTACAACACCTTTACAACCAAAAAGTGAAAAATGTAGCTTTAATGAGATTTATATTAGGCCCAAAATAACGAGGGAAATAAAAGGAGAAAAGGGGGAGACAAAGGAGGTGGAGGTTGAAACAATGTCTGAAATCTTCACAAAGAACGGAGTCCCCCAAAAATCTGTATATGTTCTAGGAGATGCAGGGTCAGGAAAAACTAGCTTTTGTAAATATCTGGTTAATTGTTGGTGTTTGGCACACAGTGAGGAACATGAAGCTGACAATGAAAACAAAGATGGCACCGGTGAACCTGACTGTGACGGTGAAAAACATGGGGCTGGCAATGAAAATGAAGATGGCAATTGTAAACCTGAAGGTTACAGTGATAAACATGGAGGTGACAGTGAAAAACATGAAGCTGGCAGTGAGGAACATGGAGGTGATAATGAAGAACATGAAAAAAAGGGAAGTGACATTGTAAATGAAGAGGTAAAGGGGACACATAGTGGAGACATTGGAAACGAAGAGGGCAGTAAGACACATGAAGTTGTTATTGAGAAACGAGGAGAAAAACATTTGGGTGGCATTAAGAAAAATGGAAGTGACAGTGATGACATTCAGGATAACAGTGATGGCTTAATACACTCCGAATCTCACAATGATGACTCTGATGAGATCTTAACCGGCTTTAAATTTAACATTTATGACTCTGAATATGATAGCAAAAGTTATGAACTGAAATTCAATGGTGTAAAAGAGATGAAGAAATTTGATTTTGTATTTTACATCCCTCTTAGACAGTTTAATCAAAACATTGGCATTGATGAAATGCTTCTAAAACGTTATCAAATGAAAATGTTGAACACACTTCTTGAAGAGGAATCTTCTAGAGTTATGATTTTGCTTGATGGCTTAGATGAATGGTCCTCTGAAAATGTCCCAGAACATAGTATCTTTAAGGAGTACACAATAGTAACTACTTCTCGGCCATGGAAATTTCATACATTAAGATCAAGTGATGTTGAGATTGAACAGTCGCTAAATCTGAAAGGGTTTGATTTTAGATGTGAATGGGAAATGGTAAGTAGGACAGTCTCACAATTAAATGTAAATAGAAATGCTAATAAACAAGCCAGAGATTGTAGGGAAAAGCTGAATCAGAAGTCTCTTGAAAGTTTAAAACAGGTACCAATTATGCTACAACAACTGATATGTCTATGGTTTGATGGTAAACTCGATAAAACCTCAAGATGTGCTATCTACACCGGTATGTTAGAGTTATTCTTCACCTGGAATGACATGAAAACTACAGGAACAAGTACTAGATTCATGAAGGGTACCCAGAAAGTAAACCTCCCTCAATATTTAGCAGATAAAACCAAATTAAGATTAAACAGGCATTTTATTTATGAAATATCACGGTTGGCTTATGAGACACTATTTAATTGTCCGAAGGATAAATCCTTGACATTTGACATTTGTATGTTTGATGAACTTGAAATATCAGATGAAGTAAGAGAAAATTGCTTGAAACTTGGAATAATGACAGAAGATGATTGTCCAAGTTTATCTGTATCAGAAGCATCAAGCTCATTGTTGTCTTTTATTCACAAATCAATGCAAGAATTTCTGGCTGCAGTGAATATTTGTATCAATTTCAATGCAAAAATGTGTTCATCAGATAGTGTAGGAAATTTTGAATTGGCCAAGAAGTTTATAAATGACGTTTTTCAGAACTGTTCAACAGTAAATGACATATTAGAGCAATCAAATGTTATCATTATGCTTTGTGGTTTAGAACCTAAATTAGCAACATGTGTTTCAAAATACATATATGATACTGTGTCAGAAGACTCTCGTGTTCAGGAATACAGGAGAACAATAAGTAGTAATATTTATTTGGATCATAGTTGTATTACAGATATTCAAAAGCTAATGTTTGAGTCAATGAAAGAATTCAATGAAACATGTAGTATAGAAAATAATCCTGTATTTTATATAGGAGATTTGGTCATTGGTAGACGGGGTCAGTATTGTGATATTGTTTGTTCAAGCATTTATCAGCATCAAATTGTTCTTGACTCTGTTCTGTCTATTAATGTATATGACATCAACAAAAAAAATGTTAAATTTACAAAATATTTATCAATGTTTCATCATCTTGAAAAAATTGAAATATCATATGAATCTGAATTTCTAAGGTTATCAAGTACACAAAGTGATAGTACACAGAGGGATGAACAGAGGATTAATGAGATTAACAATTGTGTTTCTGAGACAATTAAAGTAAATACTTCAACATTAAAGTCTCTGTCTCTTGATGTCTCTAACACTGACAAGTATTACCCAGTGTGTAAAACAGTTGTTAGTAACCTACCTAGTATGATCAATCTTGTAGCAATAAGTATGAGTTATATAACAATGAGTCATGATGATACTACTACATTTTGTAAAAATTTCTTGAGAGAAAAGTCACTTGAACAAATACATATTGGGTTATTTTAAATGTTGAATGAGAAACCAGCATGATGTAAATTTATCCCCAAAACATCAACAAACTTAGTCCTTGAGTTGTATGATTATGTAAGTGTGATAGATGCTGATACTACAAACCCTTTGAAAATTTTTAACAATCTTTATAATTTGAAAGATAGTAATTATGAGAAAATATTTGCATATTATTAAAAATCTAACAATTAAAAGAAATTAAATTGGTGGAGATTTGTTACAATTATTATAAATCTAATTATTCATAACCAACATAAAAGGACTAGTCCCAGTATTAACCCATTGTTTTACAACAATCTACAGTGGTTGAGTATACAGTATTGTAGGATAACGTGACAATATAATTCAGTTATTTTAAAATGATGAAGGAGTTTTAAAATACAAATTCAGCTTTTCAAAGTCATAATGAGTTTTGAAACATGGCAGAAGTTTGTTGATAGTCTTCCTCATATACCTCATACTGTAGGTGTGAGTGTAATGAGATGTAATATAACAGGAGATGGTGAGGAGTTAAATGATGATTGTTTACATTGACATCACAAGGATTTAGAGGAGGGAAGGGAAATGATGTTGTACAGTATGTAAAAGATCATCAGAATCAGTTATTCCATGTTGAATATGATGATGATGATTGTTTTGCATTTTCAACAAAAAAGTGATATAGGATACATGTAGTTAATATTTTGGTTTAAAGTAATTATTGCATATTCAAAGACATAAATTTAAATATTATTTTTTTCATTTTCAGTACAAAAAATGATTTGGAATTAAAAAATTTAGAGGATACATACCTTTAAATTTTCAACAGAAAAGGGATTAAGTATCCATGTAGTTATGTAGTATTTTAACTTAATGTTTTTTGTTGTTTTTGTTTTTTTTGTTTTTTTTGCCCAAAAAAAATGGGTTTTAATTTTTAACATAAATTTATATAGGATACTTAACAGTGTTTAAACTAAATTTCATGTTAAAAGACACGATAAATTTGTTTTTTATTTTCATCAAAAAAGTGATACTAATGACAAGTACTTTTCTTATTGTTGTAAAGCAAGAGGATAAATATAATACATTATGATAACAATCATCAAAACAGTTAAAGCAAGAGGATAAATATAATACATTATGATAACAATCATCAAAACAGTTAAAGCAAGAGGATAAATATAATACATTATGATAACAATCATCAAAACAGTTAAAGCAAGAGGATAAATATAATACATTATGATAACAATCATCAAAACAGTTAAAGCAAGAGGATAAATATAATACATTATGATAACAATCATCAAAACAGTTAAAGCAAGAGGATAAATATAATACATTATGATAACAATCATCAAAACAGTTAAAGCAAGAGGATAAATATAATACATTATGATGAAAAATCATCAAAACAGTTTAAAGCAAGAGGATAAATATAATACATTATGATAACAATCATCAAAACAGTTTAAAGCAAAGAGGATAATATATAATACATTATGATAACAATCATCAAAAACAGTTAAAGCAAGAGGATAAATATAATACTTATGATAACATTCATCAAAAACAGTTAAAGCAAGAGGATAAATATAAACATTATGATAACAATCATCAAAACAGTTAAAGCAAGAGGATAAAATATAATACATTATGATAACAATCATCAAAACAGTTAAAAGCAAGAGGATAAAATATAATACATTATGATAAACAATCATCAAAACAGTTAAAGCAAGAGGATAAATATAATACATTTTATGATAACAATCATCTAAAACAGTTAAAAGCAAGAGGATAAATATATATACATTATGATAACAATCATCAAAACAGTTAAACAAGAGGATAAATATAATACATTATGATAACAATCATCAAAACAGTTAAAGCAAGAGGATAAATATAATACATTATGATAACAATCATCAAAACAGTTACTAGTAAATTAAATTTTGATCTCTGGTCACACAATGCAATATTAAATTTTACAAATATTGAAATTGAAGAAAAGTAATATTCAAATTGTGTTGATAAATAAATAAATAAATAAAAATGCAGTGAAATATATTAGATAATATTGATCTTGATAAGGGTAAAGGTTATTTGTGGTAAAGATCATTGATAGTTTTTTGAAAACAATAAGAGATTTGAAAAAAGTAATGTTCTAATTATGAATACATAAATAGATTATGTAAATAAACAATTAAATAAATTAATGAATAAGTAAAATTTAATGTAAATACATACCACAAATGTTTTAATTGTAAAAGGTAAGAAGAAGTAAAAAAATTAAATAAACATTCAAATACCAGTTATATTGATATGATAGGATAAAAGGGAATGGGTAATGTTAACTACCGGTTATATGATAAATATGTCAAGGAAAATGGTATATATCAATACCAGTTATATGATAAATAGGACAAGGAATGGTATAAACAAAATAAATATGTTATAATAGGACAAAGGAATGGTACAAATATATAAAGTGAGTAGGATAAGGGGGAAAAAAAATTGGGCATATGGGTAAATACTTTATAATGATAAAAAAAAAAAAAAATATGGTCAAAGAGAATGGTATATTCATCCAATACCAGTTATTAAGATATAAAAGAAAAATGAAGGTAAAATGAATACCAGTTATATTTAATTTTAAGAAAAGGGAAAGTTTATTTTAAAAAACCCGTTTACAAAAATTTTTGAAAAATTTAATTAAATTAAAATTAATACCAAATTTTTAAAGATATTTCAAGAAGTTAATGGAAAAAATCCCAATTAATTTCTAGTTCTATAAAGAGTATAGGGGAAAAGGAAAAGATTTTACATAAAATTTTTATTAAAAAACCCGTTTTTTTAAAATAAAAGGGAAAAAAGGGAAAGGTATATATAAATCCATTTTATGATTTTTTAGGGCAATGGAAATTTTTAAAAATAAATACCCGTTTATGATTTTATAGGGCAATGGAATGGTATATTAAAAACCCGTTAAAATGAAAATAAAGGACAAATGATTGGGAAAAATGTAAATACCCGTTTTTATTTAAATTTAAGTACAATGGAAAGGGATAATAAAAACCCTTTTTATGATTTTAGGGCAAAGAATGGTATAATAAATACCCTTATATGATTCATGGGGCTGGGAAAGGTATATTAAAAAAAAAGTTTTTTATGAAATTTATGGGACAATGGAAAAGGGATATATTAAAACCCGTTTACAACACAAAGGACAAGGGAAAGGTATTTAAAAAAACCCAAAATGATATGAAAGGGCAAATGTTGGGGGGGAAAGTATAAAACAAATTATTATATGATTTTATAAAGGGAAAAGGGGAATTTGTATAAAACAAAAACCCTTATATTTTTATATTTGGACAAGGAAAAGGTTTTTAAAAAAAAAAACATAAAATATCAATATTTGGGCGGGAAAATTGTATATATTATTTCCAGTTATTGAAAATAAAAGGTTATTTAAAAAGGGCCCTTTTCTGTTATATTTTAGAGATTCCTTCTTGGATTGTTTTATATTGTAAAGATTGTAAAAAAGTGAGAAATGTTATAATTATGCAAAGCGATTTATGTGTACAGATTAATACAGTTAGTAATTTTCAAAATTGTATAGTTAAAGGACTCCACTGAGGATTTTATTATATTAATTGTTTGACATGATAGGATGTCTAATGAGAGTAATGTTGTTGAGGTGTCATACTATTTGATGAAGATTTATTACTTTTCATGTAAAAACATTATATGCAAAATTTTAGATTATTTGCTCACTTTGTTTTTCCAAAATACTAGTAATCATTTTAGCTCGGCTATTCAATGAATAGCTAATGCTATAATAGTACTTACCGCATTGGTGTCAAACTTAGGATACTTTTATTTCCATTTTTGAAGTTAGATCATTCTGCATTATCCATCACTGTGGATAGTCAAGCACACTGTCCTGTCAACAGTGTTTAAATGTTTATAGCTAAAGTCCGTCTGAAAATTACCACTTCATTAATATTGATTTTCCAATTTTATTCCGAGTATATTTCTTTAGTATCATTTTTTTCCCCTATTGAATACCCCGAAAAATCTGTTTTTGGATTTTATATTTTTATTCTTTTTTGTTTGGCTTTGGACCTCAGTGGAGCTTCCTTTAAGTGAACTATATGTTGTTTATGTTTAGAATGATAATTTTAAACACTAGGAAAGTATAGATATACCTTTCTTGTAAAATTTTTTATGTACTAGTATATACTGTTACTACATAGACAGTATAACATAATTGTAAATTAAAAACAAGTTATACACCATAGATAAAATATGATTTCATGATGCTTTATACATATCCTCAATAGAAATGTACAATTGAGGTAAAATATACATGGCTGTCAGGTGTTAGTGCTTATTGACTCTTCATCTGGCTTTATTGCCTCTCGTTTACACCTCAGGGATATATACCAGCTCTCAGTTGCCCCTCAAGGGTATATACAAGTTGTCGGGGTCCCTTCGAGATATATACCAGTTTCCAGCTCCCCTTTGGTAATATATACCAGTTTCTAGCTCCCCTTTGGTAATATATACCAGTTTTAAGCAGCCATATTTGGATATATTTGTTTCATGCTTTCCAGTGTTTTATTGTAATATATCAGATGATTATATTCTGATAAACCACTAGTGAAATTTATAAAATATAATTTTCACTGTAGCCGAACTATATCTGAATGCGGATGAAAAGAAAATCATAACTAAATGGAATAAAAAGCAGAAATAAATCCCCTAATGCGTAAATTTTGCTTCTTTCAGAAAAGAAAGTCGATGTCACCATATATCATGTTAAAGATGTAACAAAGTTAGAGAAATTTAACAGAACTATATTTCAAAATTGATCATGTGACGTCATGATGTCATGACGTCAAAAAGGAGAATGCGCGACGTTACGCGGCAATATCAGTAAAAAATACTTAAAATCACATGAAAAGCATGAAATAAAAAGAAAATTTATTTGTTTAACATATAAGATTGAA